AAGAATAATATTTGAATTAGTTTTAATTGGAATAAAATCGGATTAGATTAGCATAAGACCCTAATCACCTCTCCTCTAGGGTCTAACAGTTTTGTGTCCATCCAACTCCACAAAGAATCCTAAAATGCCCGAGAAACCGACTATCCCGATCCGAAATAATCGAACTCGGCAACCCAAAGTGCTTCCACACATGTTCAAAGAATGATTGTGCTGCACCCGCTCTCATCACGGTCTTCTTACATAGATTCAATATCACCATCTTGCTGAATCGGTCCACCACAACGTACAAATAGTCATACCCGTGCTTGGTTGTCGGCAACCCTCCTAGAAAATCTATAGAGATGCTCTCCCACTGTCTAGAAGGTACTGGTAATGGTAGGTATAATCCTCTCTTCCTGTTAGAAGGCATCGAAATGCAACATAACTTACACTCTCTAACATACTTGGTAACATCATATAGCATCTTTGGCCAAAACACATGTTTCGTAGATTGAGAAACGTCTTGTGAATCCCAAAATGTCCTTACACACGTGAGGTATGTGCTTCTCAAATCCAGTACAGCCTGTCACCATTCTCCGGAATACATAGTAATGTCCCACGATACAACAAACCACCTACACCAATCTCGTACTCCCCCTTTCTACCAGCCTTTGCCTGCTCGAACATGCTGCTAAAATCTAGGCTGGATGTGTACATCTGTACATACTCCAAAGGAACCAAGGGCTGAATGCGCGTCACCACTAAGAGAGCTCTCACGGGTGGGCGAGATAACATATCGGCTAACTTGTTCGTCGTTCCCTTCTTGTACCTATAAGAGAGCTCTCACGGGTGGGCGAGATAACATATCGGCTAACTTGTTCGTCGTTCCCTTCTTGTACCTAATGATGATATTGAAATAACATATCGGCTAACTTGTTCGTCGTTCCCTTCTTGTACCTAATGATGATATTGAACGCCATCAAATAAGACATCCACTTCATATGATGTGCCTGCTGTAGCTTCGTTTGGGTAAGTAAGAACTCTAATGGTTTGTGGTCTGAATGCACAACCACCTCCTTACCCAACAAGTATACCCGCCAATGCCTAATTGCCTGATAAAGGGCATAAAACTCCTTGTCATAGGTTGGGTAGTTCTGAATAGCACCCAAAAACATCTCAGAATAGTATTCCACCAGCTTTCCATCCTGTATCAACACCGTGACCATAGCATAACTAGACACCTCGGTCTCTACCTCAAAGGTCTGCTGTAGATTCGGCAACACCAACACTGGTGCCTCCGAGATCTTCCTATTTAGCAACTAAAAATCCTCCTCATGCGTCTTCCCCCCACTCGAACTTAATCTTAGACTTCGTAAGGCCATGCAATGGTTCCGCATAAGTCAAAAAATGTCGAATGAACTTGTGCAAATTCTAGCAAGCCCCCATGAAGCTTCTCACCTCCGTCACCGTCCTAGGTGTCGGCCACTTCGTGATCACTGCCACCTTGCCTAGATCTATCCTCCGCTAGCCTTTCCCCACAATGAACCCGAGATACACCAACTCGTCCTTCCCGAATTCGTACTTCTTCCCCTTAAGCTTCAGTTGTCCGTTCTGCAGCACTTCAAACACCTTCTCGACATGAACAAGATGTTCCTCCCTGGTCCTGCTGTACATCAAGATATCATTAAGGTAAACTATCATAAAATCCTCTATAAAAGGTCGCAACAAATCATTCATAAGTCTCATAAAGGTAGCCGGAGCATTGCACAATCTAAACGGCATCACCAACCACTCAAACAGACCCTGCTTGGTCTTGAACGTAGTCTTCCGAGTGTCATCCTCCCGAATCCTCACCTGATGGTAACCAGACTTCAAATCCAGCTTCGTGAAAAACCTCGCTCCTTCCAGCTAGTCCATAAGATCATCAATTTGAGGTAATGGGTATCGATTCTTAATGGTTATCTTGTTGAGCACCTGGTAATCCACGCACATGCGCCAGCCTTCATCCTTTTTGGGCACCAACAACACTGGTGACCCGTAAGGGGAACAACTTGGCACAATCACTCCTGTCTCCAAAAGCTCTTGAACCTACCTCTTGATCTCCTCAGACTCCTCTACAGATGTGCGGTTTAGACCTATATTCGACAGAGAACTCTCGCCGGTCAACATAATCTCATGTTCCACACCCTGTCATGGTGGTAGTCCCGTGATCTCCAAAAACAAGTCTAAGTACTTGGCATTCAACCTATCAAGCCCTCCCTCTTGAAACTTGCTCAAGGTAGTCAAGCACACCCTACTCAGATGCTCCTCATAAGGCCTAATGACTAACAATATGAACCTCTTGCTCGCATTCACTAGCCTCTTCGCCTAAGTCACTGTCACCAAACTCGTCTCCTGTGGAAGAGATGTTGAACGGAAGATGGATTGCTCGTCATTTTTGGTGAATATATACTTTTGGGCACGTCTATCGTAAACCGCAAACCTATCCCATAAATAAGGATTGCTCGGTATTACTTGGCAAACATCCAACGAAACGATGTCGCATGTGACCTCGTCAATATACGACTCGTGGAGCACAAATCTGAAAGTGCATTAGTTGATCACACTCAATCCCGCCTCCTTCTGAATCCACCCTAAAGGATAGAGTTTTGAATGTTTAACCGTCTTCAATCCCAGCTTCTAAACTAAGGCCTCAGATATCAAATTATTCTGGCTTCCTGGATCCACTATAGCATCAACTAAACTGGTCTTGATTTACAATTTCAAAACAAAGAGCTGCTCCCTCGGTTCTTCATCCTCCGTCGTGTTCTGCTTCCCCACCATAAGGTTGAGACTGCTATTGGGTGCTGTCATCCAGGGAACTTCCTTCGGACCCTGAGCTACTACATATGCCTTCTTCTCCTCCTTTTTTCAATCCTTTTGCCTTCAG